CAGTTATGAACAATAAGTATGAGGTAATTCAAAGTTTTTAAAAACTTTTCCATCTTGTCCAAAATCAATTTGAAAAAACATCAAAATAATTATGTCTAATAATGGTAAAGAATATATGAACATGAATTCTCAATTTTTAATGATATTGTTCATGAACTAATGTGTTAATACTCCCCAAGAATGTATGTCATAGAAATGAAGAATTGTCTTCAAGAAGTAGGTAAAGCCCTTCTATTCCAAATGGTTTTTATCAAAACCAATTGCTGCGAAATTGTGTACTATCACATACCTCATAGGTAGGTTATCCACTCTTGTCTTAAAAGACTTAGTGAAATTGAGTCTCTATTGTTTTTTGTTTTCTCTTCTCCCTTACTGTAAAGTCTACCTTGCAAGGTCCTTCAATGTATTGTGTTGTGCTGTGTTTTTTTTTTATTTTTTTTGTAAAACTCATGCTAGGCATCACTATGCTACTTGACATCTCTGCTATGATGACACCCCAAGGTACTTCTATCATTTGTCATCACATGAAAATATTGTTAAAAAAAATAAATAAATAAACAAAGCTCATGTTGGTACCACACCAAAACCCATGAACAAAATACAAGCCAACTATAAAGCTATTCACAACCTAACTGGCCTTATACATAGGAAAAAGAAACCTGTTATGATAAATGCTAGCATTACCGTGTACCATTTAAACACTCGTTAGAAGACAGGCCTAAACTTGCCAATTTATCTGCACAACAATTTCCTTCTCTACCACTACAAAACTTTACACATTTCCTCCAACGAACTTTAATACACTACAGTACCAGCTCTTGATGAGGGAAGGCTTGACGAACCAAAGTTGAATCACATTCCAACCAGTCTTCTAAATCTGACACTTCTAGCATACTCAATGGTGTGAATAGCTCCCATAAACTCAGCAAAAAGTGCATTCTGAAGTCCCAGAAACGCAGAAACTCTCAATATATTCCCCCCTACTTCCCCTGAACATACCTCCACAAGCTGATAAACCGGGACTTCCCCTAGCAACTCCATCCATGTTAACTTTAACCCAAGAAACCTGAGGAAACTGCCATATAATCTATTTGTACTCAGTAGCTTTGCTCGATCTTTTGCTAAATACCAATAACTTTCAAAATCCTCAAATCAGCCACCGTGTTTTGTGTATAGGTAGCTTTGAGTTCTAACCTGATCTTCTCATATGCCAAATCATCCAGCCAATACCAATAACCTCTGAGTTGAAAAAAAGGACCGATTTTATTATTCTCAATCATAGAAAAAATACATTTTCATATCCTCTATTTGTAATAATCTAATTCTCCTAAAAAGGGAAATAGGGAAACTAGGTAAACAAAATAAAATAGAGGATTATATATTTATTTTCTCTAATTAGAAAGATTCTAAAGATATCTTCTCTAATTACAACACACTGCCTATCAAATCAACCTGAGACTGACTTGCCTTTTGAGAAAATCAATAATTAAATCAGTAGAAGCAACCATCAAATTTACAAAAAATTGTTTCACCCACAACCAGAACTTGATGGCCAACATCAAAATAAAAATAGAGATGAGATAGAGACTCCTCTTTCTTGCCACATAAGGAACACAAGGAACATAGAAAGATCCCTCTTCTTTGGGCAGTATCATTCACAGGAAACCTACTATGTAAAAGTTTCTGTTGGAAGTCTCACATCGACTAGAGAGAAGGCCAATTTAGAGTATATAAGTGGTTGTAAACCTCACCTTACAAGCCGGTTTTGTGGGGTTGAGTTAGGCTTAAAGTCCACTTTTTAACATGGTAATAGAGCTAGGTTAGAGCATATCTTAACGATATTTGTTGTTTGTTGGGCATAGTGTTTCATCTGCTATCGGGTCACTATCGGATCACCCATTAATGTCTAGTCTCACGCTTGAGATGTATATACCTCGGCGTGAAGGGGGTGTGTTGGAAGTTCCACATCGAGTAGAGATAAAGTCAATTTAGAGTATATAAGCGGGTGCAAACCTCACTTTATAAGCCGATTTTGTGAGGTTGAATTAGGCTTAAAATTCACTTCTTAAAAGTTTCCATAACACGGGATTTGGCAGGAAGAATAGCACCAAATAAAATCAGCCCCCCGCCCCACCACACCAAAAAGTAATTCCTAGCAGCTTTTTGATTCAGAAATACCTGAGTTGTCCAATTTCCAATTCGGTGTATCCCTTTCCTCAGGGATCTCCAGGGGAAAAAAATTCGCATAAACCAGAAAAAGCAGGAATATCTTGCCATTCAAAACCCATCCAAGCATCCATAACACGAGACATTAACTTAATCCTGTCTTGAAGAGGCACTTTGGCCCATTTAGATATGCATCTATTAACAGTATCTCTCCTACCCAACTCGATCCAAACATTACATTAGAACAACATATATACCTAGGCCACCCTACCCACATTGAATAAAAATTCTCTTTCATTATTGTGCTGTTTTGCTGTCACTGCTATTGCAGCGGCTGCTGTTGCTTCCACTTATGCTGCTGCCATTGTTACAGCTGTTGCCACAAATTGCAGTAATTTGCAAATCCACCCTACCCACATAGAACCAGCAACTCCTACGTTATGTTTTACTGTATTTTAAGTTTTTAACTTGAAATTTGTGGTGTTTTAATTTGATTTTATTGTTATTTGAACTTCTTAGACAAGATATTAATTGTTATTTATATTTTTGGATTTTCTAAAATTATCTATATCTATATATTGTATTTTTTATGTTATCAATATGTATATATTATATTTTATTTCTGTCGACAATGTTTCCGCCATAACCTGTGACGACTTTTGATACATTCTCATAAAGGATTTTTGGTATCCAATATTATTCGATATTAATAACAGTGATCAATATTCATTTCCCAACTTCAATGAAGTTGTTGTAAATAAAGGATTATTAGGATGAACATGTCCTCAATATCTCCATAGTAATTAGGATAAAAACATATTTCCTATTAATGTCAACATTTTTTTTTATTTCTTTATTTTAAAGGGTTTGATGGCTTGAACTAGAGGTGATGAAATAATTTGTGTTTTTTATCGATAAAATAATTCTTTATTTTCTTACATAGTTAAAGTCAAGCAATAATCTCCATTTTATAGCCTAAAAATTCAAGGTTATCAAAATCAATATTTTCCTTCATAATGGAGAGGGAAGTTTGGATAGTAAATCAGAAAATCGTAACATGGATTGTGTTTGAAGTCCTACATCTACTAGAGATAAGGCTAATTTAGAGTATTCATGTGGGTGTAAACCTTACTTTACAAGCTGGTTTTGTAGGGTTAAGATAGGCTTAAAGTCCACTTTTTAATATGGTATCAAAGTCATGGATTAAAGCCTATCCTAGCGAGATTTGTGTTTGTTGGGCATATCATTCCACATGCTATCTGGCCATTCCACCTGCTATCGGCTATCGGGCCCCACTAATGTCTAGTCCCACGCACGAGATGAATATAGCTCAGTGTGACAGGGTGTGTTGAAAGTCTCACATCGACTAGAAATAAGACTAATTTAGAGTATATATGTGGGTGTAAACCTCATCTTACAAGTCGGTTTTGTATGATTGAGTTAAACTTAAAGTCCACTTCTTAACCGATTGTTAGATTCCTCAAAACTTATGAAGTGCACAAAGGGAGAGTGGAGGTCTTTGCTTTTTGGTAAAGGGAGAGAGGTAGTTTTTTTGGGTTACATGAGGTTTTTAAGCAACAGGGCTATCTTTCTTCAGTTGGTTGGGTTTAGAGGGAAAAGTAATTGTGACGCCCTTTGTTCAGCTTGTGAGAGCAATTACGCTCACCTATTGGGAAACTAAAACAGAGGAGTCATCATCAACGGAAGCAGGTATATCAACAATAACTTTACTTGGTACATGAAAAATGGTGGAACAAGTAGAAGCAAAATTAGGGACATCAGGGGACCCCAAGATCTGATCATATGAACATATTGTTTCATGAATTACATTTGTACTACCGTAATTTCATAAAGAAATAACTTCAAATATGAGGAAATCACTAATATTAATTTTTGAGTTTTGGTGTGCGACAAAGGACTACAAGTACAGCCCTATTCATATAATCATATGCTAGAATTTTGGGTACAAGTCAAGCTCAATAAAAATGATGGAAATCTCACATCTAATTATAATATAAGTGAATGCAAATCTTGCTTTACAAACTGGTTTTGTAGGTTTAGGTTAGGTTTAAATCCACTTTATGAGACAAACAATCCTATTTAGGATTAAATCATATTAAATTTGTTAAAAAATGGAAAGAAGAAATAAACACAATAAGCACATGCTGAACATGTTACAACAGAATGACTTTGGAACACATTATGCTGAACATGTTACTTCGATGATTTGAAACCGTACTAGGCAATTACGGTATATAGACTAAACAGCGCAGTTACTTTCTAAAATAAGACTGAAAATATGGTACATATCAATCTTAATTACAGTACACTAGTTAGGGACTGCTTCCACAATATATATTAGCCTGGATGAATAATTACTCGACTAGAATATAGCTATATGACGACCCATCTAGAATATAGCTATATAGCTATATGGCAACTTATACTAAGTCAGTACTGTTCATTATAATACTTAACCACAACCCATCTAGTTTGTACAACATCGTTTACCTTGTTGATCTTATATTTGATAAACTTAAATATTCAATTTTCTAGTTCATTAATGTTCAATACCTCTCCTTAACTGATATAAGGATCGACCAAGAAATTTTGCAAAAGATAGATACTGTTCACCTCCTTTCAATCAAATTGAAGTTTCTTTTCTTTTATGTAGAAACCTATGCCTTAAAGAATCAATAATGAATTAATGTATTTCATATGGTTTTTGTGCATGATATTCTATCCTATGGACCTCATCGTTAATCAACATGAACATTAAATTCATTATTTAAGAACCAATTCTTTCCTCAACTTGAACTAACACGCTTCCTCAGTCTAGCGGCAGTGGGAGTGAAAGTGCGACCAACTTCAGAAAATCTACGAAGTCAAGAAGTAATGATGCTTCTGAAAACAATAGTGACAGCAATGAGGAGAATGACTATGGAAGCAAAGGCTTGAGCATTCGAGATGGAAGTGACAATGGAAGTGGCACTCAGGTATTACACATATCTTATAGTATAGATTAGATTCTCTTAACTGGATAACCCTTATGTAATATTTTCCTGTACGGGGGCAAGATTACCATAATTTTCTGTGTTGATATCATTTTCTGCTCATGAAAATTAGTTTCTAAATTCTTGTGTTGTTACTTTTTTCTGTTTATTTTGAAGCACAACAGATGCGGTTCTGCTTTTAAGAACACATTCATCATTTTTTATGGATAGATCAATGATTTTCTAATGTCTCAGTAATAGTGTGTAGTGTTTCATACTGACTTGCTTCACATGTGCAATTTGATATGGTAATTCTAAGCAGCCAGAAAATAAGGGTTTAGAAATTCTGTAGAAGCCATGTGGGTCTACAAAGCACGGCTAGTACTGCAATAGATAAATAAACAACATAAGAACTGTTGAGTCTGAATTGTCGTTTATGCCTTGTTGGGTTGGAAGGCGAAAGATGGAACATGATGTAGATAATGTAATGTGTTTGTTGGGACAGAAAAAGAGGAGAAATAATTTTTAAAAATGGTGGGACCCATTGGGTTCTCACTATTTCTACTCATCCCTATCCTCATCTGTTCTCTATTTCTCTTAAACCAAACATCTTTAATTTCTATTTCATTTCCCATTTATTTTCACTCTACCAACTTATTTCTATCTAACCTATTTTTCTCCTTTTAAACAGAGCATTAGGGTAATTATTAGTTAACTTGAGTGATCAATAAAGATGAGAAGGTAATGGATGTCTTTAGTTGTTCAATTTAACCTACATAGGGTTCACTTAGCATGTGGCAGTTACTTCTCATAACAGCTACCTAGTGCAATAAGTCAATAGGTGTCATCCATAGTTCTTTTGTCATTCCATTGTCCCATATGCAACCATTGATGTTCTTGTTGTTGTTCGTGGAGTTGACAACAGTATGAAGCATGCTATTTTTTTTTTAATTATTATTGCACCCAATTTTGAATCACATTATAGAAATTAGCTATTAATTTAGGGAGAATCACAATTTTGGAATTTTAGCAGTTATTTTCTGTTCAGGAACAATTTAGTGTAGAATTGTTAAAGTTGTTAGGTGGGTGGTTAATGTATCAATTACCTCCCTTAAAAAATATATTTATAGGGTTATCACTTAAATTCGGAGTTTCACTTGAAAAAACTTGAGCATTAAAGAATCTAGTGAATTATGCAAGAGGTTATTTGTTCTCTCTAGATGTGTTTTCTAGGAATTATAAACCAGAGTTTCTAAGTCACCTTGTGAAAACAAGTACAATACAAGGGAATGGTTAATATTGAAAACTTTTGAACATTTTCATGATGTTAGCATCTGATTGTTTAAAAGGAACTCTCCTTTGGTTAGTTTTTGTTTAACAAAATGTAATATAAGGAGATTGGAATGGAGAAAATATTTAAGCTTGGTGTTTTTATATTGGTTCATGTATAAAACCAAACTATGTCCTAATCTAGATTAAGTTCCACTAGATAGACTATCGTTGCAAAATAAGAAGGTGAATATTCTTTGGGACCTAACCACTCTTGTCTAACATTAAGTGTTATTTAGACAGTAGTCACTCTTGGCTAAGATGGGGTATTGTTTGAAACACTTGAGATTAGAATAGAGAAATACATTTCTAAGAGGGCTTAAAGAACCCTTCTAATACATCTGTATTTATATATATGAAGGTTGATACAGTAGGAAGGCTAAAAGGCAAAAAGCGTTGTCCTAGGCTACTTGGACTAAGAACTAGGGGTGAAGGTTATCTAATGCTCAACCTCTTGTCTTAGACACAGTGATTACTTGAATTTTCAAGCTATTTCAACACTCCCCTGAAGCTGGAGCATACAGATTGTATGTGCAAAGCTTTGAACAAATAAACACAATATGAGGTCCCCTTAAGGACTTGGTGAACACATTTGTGAGTTGGTCGTTTGATCCAACAAACTCAATACATATTTCATTTGTCAAAAACTTTCTCAAACAAAATGACAATTAATTTCTATATGTTTAGTTCTCTCATGAAATACTGGATTTGATGCAATGTGGAGAGCAACTAGATTATCGCAATACATCTTCATAGTCTGGATGTCGCAAAAATTAAGCTCTTGAAGGAACTGCTTCACCCATGTAATTTCACATGTTAGTGACACTATTGCCCTATATTCAGCTTCAGTTGTTGATCGGGCCACTGCATTTTGTTTCTTACTGTTGGAAGTCCCACATCAACTAGAGATAAGGTCAATTTATAATATATAAGTAGGTGTTAACCTCACCTTACAAGCCGATTTTGTGGGGTTGAGTTAGGCTTAAAGTCCACCTCTTAACATGGTATCAGAGCTATGGTTAGAACCTATCCTAGCGATATTTGTTTGTTGGAGATTTGTTCCACCCGCTATCAGGCCGTTATCGCACCATTCATTAATGTTTAGTCTCACACTCGAGATGTATAGACCTCAGCGTGAGGAGGTGTGTTGGAAGTCCCATATCGACTAGAGATAAGGCCAATTTATAATATATAAGTGGGTGCAAACCTCACCTTACAAGCGGTTTTATTGGGTTGAGTTAGGCTTAAAATTCACTTCTTAACACTTACTTTTCCTTGAAATAATGTTTCCTCCAAAGAAAACACAATGTCCAGTAGACCGTTTGTCAATAGGCGAATCTGCCCAATCTGCATCACAATACCCAAATATGTCCTTGGCCAAGAAACTAAATTTCAACAGCAGCAGACCAAGAGAGATAAGTTTTTCCATTTAGCTTTTTGAAAGTAATTGAGGACTTCTGGAAAACGAAATAACACTTCTAGTTGCCATTTCTAATAAAAGAAACAATGAAGGAGCAAGGAAACAGAAAGCCCTAGGGAATTTCTTCAAGGGTAGCTTCGAACTTCATTGAAATGAAGTTTTAAGGTCAAAACAGAGAAAGGAGGGACCGATGACAGCTATAGAGGTGGCGCAGTGATGTTACGTTGAGCAGAAGGCGGCACGTGAGTCAGAAGAAAGAGAGGAGGGACTGGTGACAACTATGAAAGTGGCGCGGTGACGTTACATTGAGCAGAAGGCGGCACGTGAACACTATGCGCCTGGCTGCAACAGACAAAGATAGTGTGCGTGGTGGAGAATTTGCCCTCAGCACCACTTTCAGAGGTAATCCAAATCCGATAGTTGTTGGACGAAACTTGCACAGGTCGATGGCAGCGGACGACGACAGACCCGCATAGAACAGTGATTGACAGTGTTGGACAACTTTAACCGGTAGTGGACAACCATACAAAGGGGCTGGACAGTCGCAGATAGCCGCAAATAGTGCCATATAGATGGAGACAATAATGACAGTGATGACAGATGAGATGAGATAGAAATCAGAGAAATATATTTCTACAGGGTTTAAAGAACCCCTCTCATAGTTCTATATTTATATATATGAAGGTTGATACAATAGGTTGATACTAAAAGGTTGACAAAATACNATTTTTGGATTTTCTAAAATTATCTATATCTATATATTGTATTTTTTATGTTATCAATATGTATATATTATATTTTATTTCTGTCGACAATGTTTCCGCCATAACCTGTGACGACTTTTGATACATTCTCATAAAGGATTTTTGGTATCCAATATTATTCGATATTAATAACAGTGATCAATATTCATTTCCCAACTTCAATGAAGTTGTTGTAAATAAAGGATTATTAGGATGAACATGTCCTCAATATCTCCATAGTAATTAGGATAAAAACATATTTCCTATTAATGTCAACATTTTTTTTTATTTCTTTATTTTAAAGGGTTTGATGGCTTGAACTAGAGGTGATGAAATAATTTGTGTTTTTTATCGATAAAATAATTCTTTATTTTCTTACATAGTTAAAGTCAAGCAATAATCTCCATTTTATAGCCTAAAAATTCAAGGTTATCAAAATCAATATTTTCCTTCATAATGGAGAGGGAAGTTTGGATAGTAAATCAGAAAATCGTAACATGGATTGTGTTTGAAGTCCTACATCTACTAGAGATAAGGCTAATTTAGAGTATTCATGTGGGTGTAAACCTTACTTTACAAGCTGGTTTTGTAGGGTTAAGATAGGCTTAAAGTCCACTTTTTAATATGGTATCAAAGTCATGGATTAAAGCCTATCCTAGCGAGATTTGTGTTTGTTGGGCATATCATTCCACATGCTATCTGGCCATTCCACCTGCTATCGGCTATCGGGCCCCACTAATGTCTAGTCCCACGCACGAGATGAATATAGCTCAGTGTGACAGGGTGTGTTGAAAGTCTCACATCGACTAGAAATAAGACTAATTTAGAGTATATATGTGGGTGTAAACCTCATCTTACAAGTCGGTTTTGTATGATTGAGTTAAACTTAAAGTCCACTTCTTAACCGATTGTTAGATTCCTCAAAACTTATGAAGTGCACAAAGGGAGAGTGGAGGTCTTTGCTTTTTGGTAAAGGGAGAGAGGTAGTTTTTTTGGGTTACATGAGGTTTTTAAGCAACAGGGCTATCTTTCTTCAGTTGGTTGGGTTTAGAGGGAAAAGTAATTGTGACGCCCTTTGTTCAGCTTGTGAGAGCAATTACGCTCACCTATTGGGAAACTAAAACAGAGGAGTCATCATCAACGGAAGCAGGTATATCAACAATAACTTTACTTGGTACATGAAAAATGGTGGAACAAGTAGAAGCAAAATTAGGGACATCAGGGGACCCCAAGATCTGATCATATGAACATATTGTTTCATGAATTACATTTGTACTACCGTAATTTCATAAAGAAATAACTTCAAATATGAGGAAATCACTAATATTAATTTTTGAGTTTTGGTGTGCGACAAAGGACTACAAGTACAGCCCTATTCATATAATCATATGCTAGAATTTTGGGTACAAGTCAAGCTCAATAAAAATGATGGAAATCTCACATCTAATTATAATATAAGTGAATGCAAATCTTGCTTTACAAACTGGTTTTGTAGGTTTAGGTTAGGTTTAAATCCACTTTATGAGACAAACAATCCTATTTAGGATTAAATCATATTAAATTTGTTAAAAAATGGAAAGAAGAAATAAACACAATAAGCACATGCTGAACATGTTACAACAGAATGACTTTGGAACACATTATGCTGAACATGTTACTTCGATGATTTGAAACCGTACTAGGCAATTACGGTATATAGACTAAACAGCGCAGTTACTTTCTAAAATAAGACTGAAAATATGGTACATATCAATCTTAATTACAGTACACTAGTTAGGGACTGCTTCCACAATATATATTAGCCTGGATGAATAATTACTCGACTAGAATATAGCTATATGACGACCCATCTAGAATATAGCTATATAGCTATATGGCAACTTATACTAAGTCAGTACTGTTCATTATAATACTTAACCACAACCCATCTAGTTTGTACAACATCGTTTACCTTGTTGATCTTATATTTGATAAACTTAAATATTCAATTTTCTAGTTCATTAATGTTCAATACCTCTCCTTAACTGATATAAGGATCGACCAAGAAATTTTGCAAAAGATAGATACTGTTCACCTCCTTTCAATCAAATTGAAGTTTCTTTTCTTTTATGTAGAAACCTATGCCTTAAAGAATCAATAATGAATTAATGTATTTCATATGGTTTTTGTGCATGATATTCTATCCTATGGACCTCATCGTTAATCAACATGAACATTAAATTCATTATTTAAGAACCAATTCTTTCCTCAACTTGAACTAACACGCTTCCTCAGTCTAGCGGCAGTGGGAGTGAAAGTGCGACCAACTTCAGAAAATCTACGAAGTCAAGAAGTAATGATGCTTCTGAAAACAATAGTGACAGCAATGAGGAGAATGACTATGGAAGCAAAGGCTTGAGCATTCGAGATGGAAGTGACAATGGAAGTGGCACTCAGGTATTACACATATCTTATAGTATAGATTAGATTCTCTTAACTGGATAACCCTTATGTAATATTTTCCTGTACGGGGGCAAGATTACCATAATTTTCTGTGTTGATATCATTTTCTGCTCATGAAAATTAGTTTCTAAATTCTTGTGTTGTTACTTTTTTCTGTTTATTTTGAAGCACAACAGATGCGGTTCTGCTTTTAAGAACACATTCATCATTTTTTATGGATAGATCAATGATTTTCTAATGTCTCAGTAATAGTGTGTAGTGTTTCATACTGACTTGCTTCACATGTGCAATTTGATATGGTAATTCTAAGCAGCCAGAAAATAAGGGTTTAGAAATTCTGTAGAAGCCATGTGGGTCTACAAAGCACGGCTAGTACTGCAATAGATAAATAAACAACATAAGAACTGTTGAGTCTGAATTGTCGTTTATGCCTTGTTGGGTTGGAAGGCGAAAGATGGAACATGATGTAGATAATGTAATGTGTTTGTTGGGACAGAAAAAGAGGAGAAATAATTTTTAAAAATGGTGGGACCCATTGGGTTCTCACTATTTCTACTCATCCCTATCCTCATCTGTTCTCTATTTCTCTTAAACCAAACATCTTTAATTTCTATTTCATTTCCCATTTATTTTCACTCTACCAACTTATTTCTATCTAACCTATTTTTCTCCTTTTAAACAGAGCATTAGGGTAATTATTAGTTAACTTGAGTGATCAATAAAGATGAGAAGGTAATGGATGTCTTTAGTTGTTCAATTTAACCTACATAGGGTTCACTTAGCATGTGGCAGTTACTTCTCATAACAGCTACCTAGTGCAATAAGTCAATAGGTGTCATCCATAGTTCTTTTGTCATTCCATTGTCCCATATGCAACCATTGATGTTCTTGTTGTTGTTCGTGGAGTTGACAACAGTATGAAGCATGCTATTTTTTTTTTAATTATTATTGCACCCAATTTTGAATCACATTATAGAAATTAGCTATTAATTTAGGGAGAATCACAATTTTGGAATTTTAGCAGTTATTTTCTGTTCAGGAACAATTTAGTGTAGAATTGTTAAAGTTGTTAGGTGGGTGGTTAATGTATCAATTACCTCCCTTAAAAAATATATTTATAGGGTTATCACTTAAATTCGGAGTTTCACTTGAAAAAACTTGAGCATTAAAGAATCTAGTGAATTATGCAAGAGGTTATTTGTTCTCTCTAGATGTGTTTTCTAGGAATTATAAACCAGAGTTTCTAAGTCACCTTGTGAAAACAAGTACAATACAAGGGAATGGTTAATATTGAAAACTTTTGAACATTTTCATGATGTTAGCATCTGATTGTTTAAAAGGAACTCTCCTTTGGTTAGTTTTTGTTTAACAAAATGTAATATAAGGAGATTGGAATGGAGAAAATATTTAAGCTTGGTGTTTTTATATTGGTTCATGTATAAAACCAAACTATGTCCTAATCTAGATTAAGTTCCACTAGATAGACTATCGTTGCAAAATAAGAAGGTGAATATTCTTTGGGACCTAACCACTCTTGTCTAACATTAAGTGTTATTTAGACAGTAGTCACTCTTGGCTAAGATGGGGTATTGTTTGAAACACTTGAGATTAGAATAGAGAAATACATTTCTAAGAGGGCTTAAAGAACCCTTCTAATACATCTGTATTTATATATATGAAGGTTGATACAGTAGGAAGGCTAAAAGGCAAAAAGCGTTGTCCTAGGCTACTTGGACTAAGAACTAGGGGTGAAGGTTATCTAATGCTCAACCTCTTGTCTTAGACACAGTGATTACTTGAATTTTCAAGCTATTTCAACACTCCCCTGAAGCTGGAGCATACAGATTGTATGTGCAAAGCTTTGAACAAATAAACACAATATGAGGTCCCCTTAAGGACTTGGTGAACACATTTGTGAGTTGGTCGTTTGATCCAACAAACTCAATACATATTTCATTTGTCAAAAACTTTCTCAAACAAAATGACAATCAATTTCTATATGTTTAGTTCTCTCATGAAATACTGGATTTGATGCAATGTGGAGAGCAACTAGATTATCGCAATACATCTTCATAGTCTGGATGTCGCAAAAATTAAGCTCTTGAAGGAACTGCTTCACCCATGTAATTTCACATGTTAGTGACACTATTGCCCTATATTCAGCTTCAGTTGTTGATCGGGCCACTGCATTTTGTTTCTTACTGTTGGAAGTCCCACATCAACTAGAGATAAGGTCAATTTATAATATATAAGTAGGTGTTAACCTCACCTTACAAGCCGATTTTGTGGGGTTGAGTTAGGCTTAAAGTCCACCTCTTAACATGGTATCAGAGCTATGGTTAGAACCTATCCTAGCGATATTTGTTTGTTGGAGATTTGTTCCACCCGCTATCAGGCCGTTATCGCACCATTCATTAATGTTTAGTCTCACACTCGAGATGTATAGACCTCAGCGTGAGGAGGTGTGTTGGAAGTCCCATATCGACTAGAGATAAGGCCAATTTATAATATATAAGTGGGTGCAAACCTCACCTTACAAGCGGTTTTATTGGGTTGAGTTAGGCTTAAAATTCACTTCTTAACACTTACTTTTCCTTGAAATAATGTTTCCTCCAAAGAAAACACAATGTCCAGTAGACCGTTTGTCAATAGGCGAATCTGCCCAATCTGCATCACAATACCCAAATATGTCCTTGGCCAAGAAACTAAATTTCAACAGCAGCAGACCAAGAGAGATAAGTTTTTCCATTTAGCTTTTTGAAAGTAATTGAGGACTTCTGGAAAACGAAATAACACTTCTAGTTGCCATTTCTAATAAAAGAAACAATGAAGGAGCAAGGAAACAGAAAGCCCTAGGGAATTTCTTCAAGGGTAGCTTCGAACTTCATTGAAATGAAGTTTTAAGGTCAAAACAGAGAAAGGAGGGACCGATGACAGCTATAGAGGTGGCGCAGTGATGTTACGTTGAGCAGAAGGCGGCACGTGAGTCAGAAGAAAGAGAGGAGGGACTGGTGACAACTATGAAAGTGGCGCGGTGACGTTACATTGAGCAGAAGGCGGCACGTGAACACTATGCGCCTGGCTGCAACAGACAAAGATAGTGTGCGTGGTGGAGAATTTGCCCTCAGCACCACTTTCAGAGGTAATCCAAATCCGATAGTTGTTGGACGAAACTTGCACAGGTCGATGGCAGCGGACGACGACAGACCCGCATAGAACAGTGATTGACAGTGTTGGACAACTTTAACCGGTAGTGGACAACCATACAAAGGGGCTGGACAGTCGCAGATAGCCGCAAATAGTGCCATATAGATGGAGACAATAATGACAGTGATGACAGATGAGATGAGATAGAAATCAGAGAAATATATTTCTACAGGGTTTAAAGAACCCCTCTCATAGTTCTATATTTATATATATGAAGGTTGATACAATAGGTTGATACTAAAAGGTTGACAAAATACTTGGACAAAGAACTAGGGGCAGAGGTTATCTAACACTCAACCTCTTGCTTTAGGCTTAATGATTATATGGATTTTCAAGCTATTTCAACATAATCGTAGCCACTTTTTGGTAAGATCGAGTATTCTTTGGGAAGCCGTCGCACTTGGTTAAAATTGAGTATTCTTTTAGTATGCAACTACTCCTTGGTTAGACTCATTATTATTTGGAACGCAAGCACTCCTGGCTAAGATTAAGTATTCTTTGAAATGCAGTGACTACTAGCTAAAACTAAGTACTATTTGTGTTAGATGTAATGGGCTTGGCCCATCTCTTTATATTTTTGTATTTATAAATGCATAACCCTATAAAACAAAACCCTAGGAAAACTCAAATATTTTCTTGATATAGAGGTCGCTTACTGGAAGAATAGAATTTTCATCTCCCAAAGAAAATATGTACTTGATCTCCTCAAAGAAACAGGAAAGTTGGGATGTAGAACCTCAACAGTTCCTATAAAACAAAATCACAGAATTGGAAGTGAAGAAAGTGCTCCTATAGAAAAGGCCCATTATCATATTTGTAGGAAAATTGATTTATCTATCACAATATCCTTCTCCTATTTACACTACTTTGAGTTATCATAGATTATGTCTATCTTTTCATACTTGTCTTTCGTTTATCTTTACTCTTGTCAATTTCAAAATTTGTTGGGGATGCCTTAGCCCATCCTAGTTGGTGTTAGAACATGCTTAATGAAATTCTTTCTCTTCAGAATGGTACAACTTGGGAGCTCATCCCATTACTATTCGGAAAATCCATTGTTAGTTGTAGGTTGGTCTTTGCTATCAAAGTTGGTCTTAATGGAACTATTGGTCATCTTAAAGCTCGTTTTGTGGCCAATGGTTACACAAATTTTTGGTTTGGATTATGGTGATACTTTTTCATTAGTGGCAAAGATGACTTATCTTTACTTATTTATAGCCATGACTGCTCTTCAGCAATAGGATGTCAAAATACTTTCTTAGAGATTTGTAGGAAGAAATTTATATGGAACAACCTCCAGGTTTTATTGCTCAGGGAGTCTTTTAGATTGGTATGTCTTCTCCTAGGGCTTGCTTTGGAAAATTTAGTAGTGTTGTTCAACAGTTTTGTATGACTCGCAGTGAGGCAGATCATTTACTCTTGTAGCGTTCAAGTGTTGGGTGTATCTATTTAATAGTATATATTGATGATATTGTTCTTATAGGCACTGATTATGATGACATCTCCAAGATGAAATAACACATTTCTCACCACTTTCAGAACAAAGATCTTGGAAACTTAGATATTTCTTGGGGATTGAGATAGTACACAATGGTATTATTATGTCTCAAAAGAAGTATGTACTGGATATTTGGGAGGAAATTAGGTTGATGAATTCAAAATTTGTTGACACACCCTTGGATCTTAATACCAAACTCCTACCTAATCATAGAGAGCCTTTCCCAAATCTAGAGAACTACAGAAAATTAGTTGGAAAATTGAACTATCTTAGTGATACTCCTCCTAATATTTCCTTTGCAGTCAGTGTGGTAAGTCAATTTCTCAATTCTCCATATGTAGATCATTAGAATGCAATCATTCATATATTATAAGAACATTAAAGGATCTCTGGGAAATTGTTTGCTATTTGGTCACTGTAATAATACTAAAGTTTCTTATATTCAAATGTTGATTGGGTAGAATTTCCTTCTGATAGATCTACTTTCAAATACTGTGTTTCCATTGGAGGTAACTTGATTTCTTGAAAGAGTGAGAAATAAAGTGTTGCGGCAAGATCTAGTGCAGAAGCAAAATATAGAGTTATGACCTCAACCACTTGTAAACTTGTTTGGCTTAAATAATTACTTGAAGAATAGCATTTTGGAGATGTCACTCAAAATATTTGTTTTAATGATAAGTGAATAGTACACTTGAGTACAATTAATAATTAAGCATCAATTTTTAACCAACTAGAAAGCTCATTTTCAGCAATAGTGGCCACATTTTTATTCATATGATCAACATAACCTGAACTCTTAAGCCAAAGTATGATGTTTGATGCCCAAGTATCATAATTAATTTCATCTAATTTCACAATGGATGGATGCACATTAATATCCCACATCAACTCCATATAAGACTAATTTACATCATATAAGTGGGTGCAAATATTACTTTAAAAAGCCTATTTTGTGAGGTTGAGTTAGGCTTAAAGTTTACTTTTTAACAAATATAATTGGTATAGATGGCCATATCAAACATAAGAGTGGCAAGGAGGCCAAATATTTGTAGAGAGAGAAAATGATTGCCAGGAGACGGAAACAGTCCTAAAAAAGGGGGGAAAATTCAACGAACTTTCATAACGATGAACGTTATAGATATGGAAAGAGGTTGGATACATTGCCATGCATGGTGGGAAGCAGGGGTGCCAGTGAGGGCTACAGTGCTAGTGAGGGCTGGGGTAGGGCATTGGAACTGTGATTGCCATTATTTTTGTGGCGTCATGGTTGCCTAGTTAAGGCGAGCAAAATCGTTGTCACCTGTCAAAATTGTGGCAGCGATGACCATGGCAATGTAAGCAACGTAGATGGTGATGAGGAGAGCATGGCTTGGAGACTAGACTGGGTGGTGGTAGCACCGGGATGGCGAAGAAACAAAGACCAAAAAAAAATTCCAAAAGCAATTTAGCATCGATTCACCATGGAGGCAAGGACTAAACCTAGTTCTAGATACCATGTGGAAATAAAAGAGAAAGAGACATGGCCTGAATCCCTAATTTGTGTAGAGCGCATAGGGTTATGCATTAATAAATATGAAAATACAAAAAGATGGGCCTAAGTATGTTACATCTAACGTAAGGGAACTCCTATCTTTCTATAGACACAACCTATCCCTATAATTATCCAACAAAATAAAATATAAAATATAAAGGGAGCCTATGCTCCTAATCTTGAAATGTAATTAAATCACTTAATTTGTGGAATGTAATTAAATTTGTACAAGGAAATATCTCCAGTATATTTCAAGGGATTCTGACAATAGACAGGAATTATTGCAGAACTCTAGGCCCCACCCCACTCTTCCCAGTTTTCTATATTAGGTCAGATTAAAAAAACTATCTAATTATCTAATTTCATAATAGACAGGAATTATTGCATTGTAACATTAGAAACTATCTAATTATCTAATTTCCTACAAAACAACCATTTTGACTCTTGTGGCCATTTGATGTGTGCTACTTTGAACCAATTTTTGATCCGTTTGTAATAAAGGTGTTGGTTAAAACAAGGAGGCCCAAATTTTATGGCAGGTGCAGTTTTTGAAAAATCTTTGCTGCTCTTGGTTGGACTGGAACACATGCGTCACTTTTGTTTATGTTACATTTTATGTATAATACGATAATGTGCATTGCTTCCTTTTGTTGTTAGGCCTAACTAGGGCTTGGGACAAAGAAGGGTCGCTTTGCTGTATTAGTTTTTTTTTTTTTGTGATATTTTCTGCGCTGTTTTCTGTTCTGGTTGTCTTGTCACTTCATTTCTATGCTTTTTCTCCATTCTCATTGATTCTTTTTGTTAAAAGATTGTTAACCACTTGTTCACTTAATTGTGCACTTCTCTGCCCGATTGCCCCTTACATAAAGCTCCCGTTTTTTGTAGAGTTCGTGGACTAAATGTCTGGCTCAAGTTGGCAGTCCTCATCCACTTTCACCACATAAACAATTGGTTGATCCCCCTGATAGCACTTGTGCCCAAGTGATGCAAACGAAGACTGAAAAAGCTAGTAGTAGATGGGTGCATGCAACAGAAAAGGAGTGCCTTGAACTTATTGATCATCTTGGTATGGCTTGATAGTATCTATATTGTTTAGACTTGACTATATGGATTTGGATATATCCCCGAATAAACCACTTATTTTCTTTCCAGATGATGTTGCAATGGGCAAGGACTTGGCTGTTGGAATATCTTTGAGTATGCAACTAGAGCATCGACTTGAGGGACTGTCTAGCAATCCAATGGGTAAAGGGGCAAATAAAATGTCTGATGATGATGATATGCAGATAGTTAAAGGACAGAGTAATGCCTGTGAAAAAGGAGAAATGGAATGCAATGGTGGTAAAACCAGGACACAGGAAAATCAGACTATGAATGTTATTGATGTTACTGATAGCAACAGTCCACAGGCTGAAAGCAGAGACTTGAACACTCCAAATGGGTTCTCTGGTTTCTCACTAACGAAAGAAAACTCTTGCCCCAAAGAGCATCCATCCCTGGAACTAACTTTGAAAAGGCTGGGAGAAGTAAGAGATCCTAAAAATGTCACGGGTGAAGAATGCAATGTTTTGAGACATTCAGACCAATCAGCATTGTCAAAGTAAGAAAATTTTCCAGCATAATTGAGTTCTAGTGGAAACAAATATTATTTGCATTACATACATAACATTTATTTTCATTGTGCAGATATAATACTGCTTCTTCTGCTAACCAGGTGATTTCCTTTGATAACTTTATGTATTGTGTTGAAATTAAGATTTTTGAGTTGCATGATTTGATTTCCATCCGAAATCCTACTCACCTCATCAACCTGTCTGACTGGCTACACCTCACTATGAATCATCTATGAATGAATATTCGATTTCCTCTCAACCAACAAATGGGGGTAAAGGGATGGAGTGAATCATCACAAAAGTTATAATAAACAATAAGAAATGTTAGATAGATTGTGTTTTATGTTAATTAGGAAAAATTAGACTTTTGATATTGTTTGATATTGGTAGATATTGTTGATATTGTTTTTCTAACAATATCTTCTATTTACCATGTTTATGTTTGTTGCCATATATACTTGTATCATTCTTTATTATAAATATATTACCCTATGCGTATTTTAGACACAAGGGAGATTAATCTCATACCTAGTTTTACTATATTCAATATGGTATCAGAGTCATAGGTTTGAGCTTATTCTCGCAATATTTGTTGTTTGTTGCGTCTATTGTTCCCCCCCATTTTTGAGCCGCTACCGGAACATCCATTAAATTTGTATAGACATCTCAAACGAGGGACTAAATATTAATGGATGGTCCGATAGTGGGCTAAATAATATGCCCAATAAACAACAAATTTCACTAGAATAGGTTTTGATACCATGTTAAGAAGTGAACTTTAAGTCTAACTCAACCCCATAAAACTGGTTTATAAGGTGAGCTTTGAATCCACTTATATACTTTCACAATTTAAGATAGAATTATTGATATATTAAATTATGCTGGGAATACAATTCATATATACAAGGCTAGAAAGCTATTGTAGGAAGTATACTAATAGGTTTGAGTGAATTCCTTAGCTACTAACCTTGCTTTGTATCTCTCAAAGGATCCATCAACCTTGTATTTTATAGTATATACCCACTTGCACCCTACTAGTTTTCTTCCATTTGGGAGAGTAACCAAATCCCTGGCACTATTCTTTTGTAATACTTCCAAATCCACTCAAATAAACAACAAAAAATTTACCTTCAAATCCATTCAATCACTCTCCCCCAAATCCATTCAAGTGAACAACGGCTAAAAGAAGAATGTCCAAGGCAACAGTGATGTAGGAAGACCTTCTCCTTGTTGGTCTTTATTGAATCAGAGAAAAAAGAGTTGTTATTTTCCAGGTCTGGTGGTAGATTCAGATTGTCCAAGTAATAGAAGTCATTCAATTCTTTAGCATGTCCAATCGTCCTCCCTGAGCTAAGCCTCTACCATTGTTTTTGTTTTTAAAATGTAAAGGTTTTTGAACCATAAAGCCTAAGCCCTTTGCCATTATTTTTTTTTTATGTTTTGTAGTGAAAAAACTTAAAGCATTATGTCTGAAAATGCATCAAATTCAATGAATACTAATCCAAGTGCATTTTCATCCATTAAAAGTAGAAGAAAAAATGCTGGATGGAAACATGGGTTTGATATTTGTGGTAATGGAAGAAAAGGTTAAATGTAACTATTGCTCAAAGATTGTGAGTTGAGGCATTTTTAGATTTAAACATCATTTTATTGGAACAAGGGAGGACTATGAACCTTGTGCTTATTATTTCAGAAGAAATTATGATAAAAAGAGTTTTAGAAGCTAAGGATGCTTCATTGAAGAGAAAAAAGTTAAATGTCGTTGATGACGACCTTAAAGAAAGTCACAATGTTGAAGGAGGACATAGGGTGTTCAATTTTAATAAATAAAAAGTTGCTACTACTAGCTAGGGGGCAGTCCAAGCAATTATAAATCAAATGATAAAAAAAGGATACAAAGAAGAAGTTGATGCTCAAGTTGCTGAATTCTTTTACACCAGTGCCATTCCTTTCAATGTAATTAGAAATCCAGCATTTGCAAAGATATGTGAAATAATTGGTAAGTATGGAGTTGGCTACAAAGCACCATCTTATCATGGTATTAGAGAGAAGCTCTTGAAATAAACTGTGAACAAAGCAAATACAATCCTTGAGGAATATAAGGAGTGGAAGAGAACTTGTTGTACCATTATGTTTGATGGTTGGACGAATAAAAAAAGATGTTTTATTTGCATTTTCTTGGTGAATAGTCCTAAAGGGATGGTTTTTGTTTATTCACTTGACACCTCAAACATTTCAAAATTAGTTGATAAAAGCAATCAAAATGTTAGATGACGTTGTTGAGTTTGTTGGAGAAGAAAATGTTGTTCAAGTTGTCACTAATAATGCTGCAAATTTCAAGGCAGGTGGAGAGTTATTGATGCAAAAAAGGAAAAAATTGTATTGAACTCCATGTGCAGCACATTGAATTGATTTGATCTTTGAAGATTTTGAAAAGAATTTGATGGTCCATGAATTGACAATTAAAAAGGGAAGAAGGATTACCACTTACATTTATGGAAGATCAATGTTGATTTCATTGTTAAAAAAGTTCACTAAAGGTAGAGACTTTATAAGACCGAGTGTGACTAGATTTGCCACGGCTTATTTAACTCTTGTTTGCCTTCATGAATTGAAGACATCATTGTTGACCATGTTTAGCTTAGAGGAGTGGGAGACAAGCAAATTTGAAACTTCACAAGAGGGGAAAAGAATAGAACATGTGGTATTAGACAGTCGGTTTTGGAAGAATGTCTCCACATGCCTGAAAGTTGTTACCCCTTGTATGGTGGTCTTGATATTGGTGGACTCAAATGTAAAATTCGCAATGAGTTTCATTTGTGAAGAGCCGGGTTGTGCAAAAGAGAAGATTAGGTCCAACTTAAACAATATTAAGAAGAGGTAAAATGTCAAACTTAGTCATTCAAAGTTTAATTATTTGTGTGAAATTATTTCTAATATAGCATAATTGGTTTGGGAATTGTATGTAGTTATGAAAAGGTTTGGAAAATAATTGATGCTTAATGGGATAATCAACTTCATAGGCCTTTGCATGCAGTTGCCTATTTTCTAAACCCCTATTTCTACTATGAACCTAACTTTAGATGTGATGATGGTGGAGAGGTGAAAGAATGATTGTATATGTGCATGAGAAGATTGGTACCAAATATGGTAGAAAGAAGAAAAATTAATTTGAAGATTGTTGAATTTCATTTTGCTAGAGGACTTTTTGGAATGGAAGATACAAAGGAATGCAGGAAAGAATTAAATCCTGGGGAATGGTGGGCAATGTTTGGGGATGGAACTCCGGAGTTGAAGAGATTTGTTATTCAAATTCTAAGCTTAATTTGTAGTTCTTTGGGATGTAAGCGTAATTCGAGATCATTTAAAATGGTAATTTAAATCATTTTTAATTTATAATTTTCTTTATTAGGTTTATATCTTTACTAAAAATTTGATATTTCATTTTAGATCCATACAAAGAGAAGAAATCATATGCATCAGGAAAAGATGAATGATTTAATTTATGTGATGTATAACTTGAAGTTGTAAAGTAGAGAAATTTGAAAAATTGTTGCTCTTCCATTTGATGATATTGAATCATCTTATAAATGGATAACTGAAGAGGTAGATAATGTTGTTGAGATTGAGCAAGCTGAAGGTGAAAATGTTCACTTAGATGGAGGAACAATGTATTAAACTCTAGATGTTTTTGATCTTGATAACATAACTTTTGAGGACAATGAGGATACACAACATTGATCAGGTGAAGAGTTGAATGAAGATGATGACGAAGATGATGATGCCATTATTAGAGGATTAGACATAGAGACTTTGACATTTCAATTTATGTTTTATAATATTATTTGTGAACTTATTTATTTTGAAGTTATATAATTTTAAGAACTTATTTGAATTAAGATGATATTCATATAAAAAGAATTCAATGTAAAGTAAACTCTCACGACGAGTTCATATAAACTCTCAGAGTTTGACAATCTTGCTTATTGTAGTCATCATAGAGGCATCAGCTGGGAATATCTTTCTGTTGCTAGGGCAAGGGTGTAAGAGAAATGTTGAGGTAAGGATGTCATGTGGTCGGTAGCCCCACAATCCAGTATCCAATATGGTTTATAGTTTTTATCCAAGGCATTAAGTTCAAAAGAAAAAAAAAAACTCACTGAAGGTACCTGAATATGCTAGAGAATATGGATTATAGTTTTTATCTAAGGCATTAAATCTAAGACAGTCTCTTGACCTTCCATCTCTCTACTGTATCCACTTTTTATCAATATAAATAGTAGAACATGAGAAGGGTTCATGTAGCCCTCAAATTATATTTTTCTGTTTTTAATCTCGAGTCCTTCTTTCCACCGGTGACTTTTTTCAGGAGCAACTGCCTATTTTTTTTCTAAGAGCTGCTTCAGCTTGCACCCACCCCAAGCAGTTCAGCTGGAGCTTGTTATATTATAAACAATAATGGATTGAATAAATTGAAGTGGAAAATAAAATAGATTAAAAAATCATTTGAAATGGAAAAGATATAAACAAAAAATATCTGAGGTAAACGGGTTGATTGTAAAAAAATATCTTTCCTTTTCTGCATTTTTCAAATCAAACGTGTTTATAAGTAAAATTTCTATTTGTCCATTCTTTCCATTTTTTTTCTTTTCCATGAATTTCTCTCCACACATTTCTCTTCCCTCAACTAAGCAAAGGCTTAATCTTTGGGCAAGCCTTATGTTTTTCTTTACCTCTTGTCAGGCTCAAACAGGAAATGTAGGAAGCTGTTCTCCACTGGCCAATGGCTCAGCTGCACCTAATGCAGAGGTAATACACAACTTTCCATCTCACTCAAATGTCACTCCTCCAAACCAGCAATCTAATGGGAGCAACAACATCAATGACATGGCCTCCATTAATACATATCTTGGCACCAAACCTTGTACTTTTGACAAGATGCCAGAGTCTGTAAGAGGTTTGGGCTCATTTAATTCCTCTGAACTCCGAACAATACGGAACAATAGTATCTCTTCGTCTCAGAAGAAAACCTATGCCCGGGAAGAATATATGGAAATTGTTAGAGGACAAGTGGGAAGCTCTGAACATGACTTCAAAGCCGAGCACACTCATTATGAGCTTCACCATTATAATCACATTTCCCGTAAAGCGGCTGTAGATCTCCAATCAGATCATGATCTCTTACTCAAAAGATCAACCAACACTGCTCAGCAATGTGTATCATCAAATGCGTTTGGAGGGCCAGCAGAAAGTAATGCTGCAAACTACACAATAGATGGAAATGCTGGGGAGAGTGATCACGGGAGCAATGGACATGGGAGCAATGGACAGGACGGAACCATGACAATGAGGACAGTAAATGTGGAAAATGGCAATGTGGCTGTTGGGAGCATTGGAGTTGGTGGCATTGATAGGAAAACCATTGGGAATGGGGCAGATGAAGGACGACTTTCATTGAGAGAGGCTGCTTTGACCAAGTTTCGTCAAAAGAGAAAAGAAAGATGCTTTGAGAAAAGGGTAATTCTATTTTAAATTATGTGCTTATAATATGTTCGCTGAAGATATTTATCGAATGTGGATTTTGTCAATTTGAGAATTGCGATGTGGTTATGCCCTTGTTATCGTATTCGTATAATCTCTACAAATGAATGGTCTGGAGATCTTCTCTGGATTCTGTGTATTTTATATATCTGCAGTTTTATCAAATTATTTTCCCTTCATTTATAAATTAAGATATTTACTGCCGAGTTACCCTAGCCCAGTAGTATTATGTGATTTATGTAGTCAACCTACTTGTAGGATAAGGCTTTATTGTACTTTGTACTTGCCTCGTATGACTTGTATGTCCATGTTTTCGTGAATGAGTTGATCCTAATCTTAATAACCACGAGATGTTATATATTGTCGTCATGAATTTGACTTGTTTGAATATTCTGAAATTTCCATTCCTTTTCCAGGTTCGATATCATAGCAGGAAAAAACTAGCAGAACAGCGGCCTCGTATTAGGGGACAATTTGTTAGACGAATAGTGTAAGTTGCTGCATACTTGGATTCACTTTATATATCTCTGTTGCACTATATAAGCACTGGATTAACTTGTGTCCAAATTTTTCTCAGGTCTGAAGCCAAAGAAGAAAAAGATCACCAAAGTGACAACCTGGTACCTGGGGATAATACCGACATTCCTCAATAACACCAGCCAAATGCTGGCCATTATTTGACTGATTCTGTTCCAGTAGCGACCTCCAGCTTCTTGCTTGTCAGACTAGTCCTTCGCACAATCACCTAGGAAGGAGCTCGGAAGTTTGTCTAGTGGGAACCTGTGATTAGGTAGTTTACCTTTACCTCTGTTGTTTTGAAGAACAGATATTTAATTTGAACCTTCAGGACAACTTTCTATAATCTGATCTTGGTTGTGTGAACTTGAAAACTCCAAATGGACCCATGGAAGTGGTTACCTTTGGATAGGTTAACCTCTGATGAAATAAAATTTATCATGTTAGCTTTTACTTCGTTTTCCTGAATTCATTGTCGTGGCTGAAAAGGAAGAGAGAATAGAGTTTCTCTGCTTCTTATCTTCATGTCACTGTTCTATACGCTAGGATTTTCACATCCAATTTTTTTTCATTTAACATTATCTTTTCATTATTTTTTATATTTATTTTTTCTTTATAAATACAAAATTTTACATTTTTATAACTATTTTATCTTTATATGAATTGTTGTCAAATAATCTCATTATTTTCTCAACAATTCTTCCCTCCCTCACTAGGACTTCTTCAACTGGAACAGCCACCTTTCCTTAACTTGTGCTGTGACGTCAATCATAAATCAATTATTGTGATCAGAGTTCTGTTCTTAGCAATAATTGTTTCAGCTGTCTGCTTCACATTCCCAACAACTGCCTTCAAAACGCCTGATAAAGATATATAAAATACACAGTACTCGATTAAAAATATTTTGAGCTTTTAATAATTAGGTTTAATCCTTTTCGACATCCCTATTTATGTACAAATATCTCAGATGGGTCCTCGTTTTCTAAAGTGTATCAAAAT